TAAGCAGGGGCATTGCCAGCAGATCGAGGGACGTGATCATTCCCCTTTATGCGACATTGGTGAGGCCTCATCTGGAGTACTGTGTCCACATTTCATTTCATTTCATTGGGCCCCACACTACAAGAAGGATGTGGAAATATTGGAAAGAGTCCAGCGGAGGGCAACAAAAATGATTGGGGTCTGGAGCACATGACTTATGAGGAGAGGCTGAGGGAACTGGGATTGTTTAGTCTCCAGAAGAGAAGAATGAGGGGGGATTTGATAGCTGCTTTCAACTACCTGAGGGGGGGTTCCAAAGACGATGGAGCTCGGCTGTTCTCAGTGGTGGCAGTTGACAGAACAAGGAGCAATGGTCTCAAGTTGCAGTTGGGGAGGTCTAGGTTGGATATTAGGAAACACTATTTCAGTAGGAGGGTGGTGAAGCACTGGAATGCATTACCTAGGGAGGTGGTGGAATCTCCTTCCTTGGAGGTTTTTAAGGCCCGGCTTGACAAAGCCCTGGCTGGGATGATTTAGTTGGGAATTGGTCCTGCTTTGAGCAGGGGGTTGGACTAGATGACCTCCTGAGGTCCCTTCCAACCTTGATATTCTATGATTCTATGAAAGTTGAGGTCTAGGCCAGGAGTTCTCACAACAAATTTTTTGGTGGCCTCAGAGTGCAGTCACAACTCTCACTGGTGGCCGCACTGACAATTTTTTCCTAAAACACTTAATTAGTTTTAGAAAAAAAAAAATATTAAATATGCACAGATTCACATCCAAATCATTGTAATGTATATTTGTAGGGTTCTTTGGCAGACTCAATAACAAAAATAATGCTGCCTCCCCCTTCGGCCCCCCCGTCCAGGGCTTAGTGGGTCCTGGGGCTTGCTGTGAAAAATGATATTTGTATATTTGTTAATATCACAGCATATTTAGTAGCTACCTGGGAGGCTATGGAAAGTGATAAGTGATATTAACGAACATAGAAATATCACTTTTCACAGATAGCTAGTAAGTCTGCTGTGAAAAGTGATACTTGCATGTTTGTTAATATCACTTTTCTCAGCAAGCCCCAGGACCCATTAAGACCTGGATGGTGGGGGCCGAAGAGGTTAGGCAGCAGGGGCCAGAGGCAATGGGTGCAGGACAGGGGGGCCCCAGGGCAATGTGGGGGGGGAATGGATGCAGGGCTGGGGAGGCAGCAGGGTCCTGGGAGGGGGGGGATGGATACAAGGCCATGGGAGGCAGCGGGGGCCAGGGGAAATGGGGGTGGATGATGAGCCCCACTGTTGCGTGGCCAGAGCCAGGGCCTGGTGTCTGCTGCCATGCAGCCAGGGCCAAGGCTCAGTGCCCACAGCCAGAACCCGGAGCTAGGGACAGGAACTGCATGGCTGAACCCAGGGATCGGAGCCTGCTGCCAGGCAGCTGAAGCTATGGGTCAGCACCCAGGGCTAGTGCCTGCCGCCACATGGCCAGAGCCCGGAGCTGGGTGCCGGAGTCCAGGAGCGCGTGCTGGAGCCAGGAGTCAGTGCCCGCTGCTATGTGGCTGGAAACAGCACCTGCTGCTGCGTGGCCAGGGCCAGGGGTCGGCACCACGTGGCAGGAGCCTGGGGACAGAGCTGTGGGTTGGCGCCTACTGCTGTGCAGCTGGGGCAGGGGATCAGCACTAGGCCAACGTGGCTGGAGACTGGGGCCAGCACCTGCCACGGCATGGCCAGAACTGGGGGCCAGAAGCTGACTGAAGCTCTGCGGCTGGGGGTCAGTACCTGCTGCCCTGCAGCCAGAGCCAGGGGTTGGTGCCCAAAGTCCCGTGCTTGGTTGGAGCCTGCTGCCGTGCGGCTGGGCTGGGGGTCGATGCCTGTGGCCAGCGCCTGCCACTGCGCAGCCGGAGCTCGGGACTGGAGCCAGGAGCCAGCACCTGATGCCACACAGCTGGAACCAGGGGCCGGAGGCTGAAGCCCCGCAGCTGGAGGCCGGGGCCATGTGGCCAGAGCCAGGGGAGGGGGGTGTCAGTACCCGCTGCCCCACTGTCCGAGCCTGGGGCCGGAGCCAGGTTCCTGAATTCCCACTACTGGAGCCTGCCGCCCAACCCCCGCTCCCTCTAAGGTGTGTCAAGAACTCACCTTGCTCCTCCAGCGTTGTGCCCCACCTCTCTCCAGAGGCAGTGCAGGGCTACGCATGCAGGAGCAACAAAGAGGGAGGGGGAGGGGGAGAGGGAGGGGCCGATGCTTTGCTTCCCTGCCCCCATCACTGCCCAGGAGGTTGTGGTGGGCACATTTGAGATACGTTGGTCTAGGCAATGGTTACAGACCTGCAAGTTCAGGTAGGGCTTCTTGCTGATGAAGGGTATTATAGATCTGCAGGTTTACTTTAGATTTGGCCTAATGATTCAAAACATTTATAGGCCTACTGTTTCATACAATTTGCTGGTTAGAGGGGATTAAAAACCTGTTGGTTCAAGTGAAGCTTGTTTCTGGCAAGAAAACTGGTAAAATACCTTCCTTTAATGTGCCTTAAGAAGATGAAACTAGAGTTGATGCATGCATGCTTTTCAAACGTGGATTCTGGCTCTGACAGTGCTCCTTGGCATGTGTGGCCTTGCTTTAGGGGAACCTCATTTAAGGAATGTGTATCTGCAATTTGCCTGAAATGAAACAGAAATAAACTCTATGTAAATAAGTAGTAGTGTGATCCAGTGGATACAATACTAAACTGGTGGTCAGAAGACATGTGTCCTGTTCTTGAATTCTACTTTGGGTTCACCGTCTGCAAAATGGTAATAATGATACTTAAACCTCCTTTGTTAACATTCATAGAGATCCTTTGAATGCAAAGTATTAGTGAAATTCAAGGAGAGTTTTGTAGAGAATATCTAGCCAGATGTAAACCCTTTGATGGATGGAAGTGAGAGTATGTATCCCAAGGATGCACCAGCACTTAGAAAATAACAAAAAGGCAAATGTCATTATATTTAAAAAAACAAAACACTTTTGAATTTTTTGTTTATACAGGCAGTGGAAGTGGTTCTCCAGAAGCTTGTTTAAAAACAACATGTTTGTGGTGGTCAGATGCCTTCCCTTTATATCAAAATCTTCACTTTATTTGTAATAAAATTGAAAATTAGTTGAGACTTTAAAGTAAACTGTTGTTCATATATACAAAGATTATATAGACTTGGAGAAATTTTGTTGTAAATAAACAAAACTAATTTTACTGTGAGTTTGTCATTGCCCAATAAGCACCAAATAAACAGCCACTTTCAATCACTCCTTTCTTCGGTGATCTCACTGTCACATGACATACTATATTGATAGTGTCACCTCTCTCTCTGACTTTCTAGTCCTCTGCACCATTATGCATACACAGAGCTTTTATAGTTTATATCACTTGCATTTTAGAGGCAGTAGAAATATCCCAGTAACAAAGAGTATTTTATTCTTTAAAGTTTGCTTGATTGACATCTGTAGCAAATTTTACTGCTGAGGTGCTTTGTTACTTACAAACTAAATCTTGCACACATCCAGTTCTAGGATCCTGCTAACCCTTACTCACACAAGCAGTCCTTACTCATGCACATACATCCACTTAGGTCAATGGAACTGCTTGAGTGAGTAAGGACTAATCACATGAGTACAGGTGTACAGACTCAGGCTCTTAATTTTCCATCATGACACTTGTTTTCTTTTGACTGATCTGTCCTCATGAAGCACGTGAAAAGTTTAGTTGCAGCACAACACTGAATATAGGGAAATCTTGTCTCTGCAGCACCATCACCAGCCTGGTACGAGAAGCCCCCAGATTCAGGAAATGTCTGTGTTACTTTTTAAACAACTCTTGTCATGTTGTGATCAGTGTTGAGAGGCTACAAAGGGAACCCCATCCACCTGCTGTCTGTTAGAGAAATGGTAGTATCTGTCATAAAGGAATCTTGAGAAAGGGGAGTAGTCCTGGGAGAGACAGGGCAGGGAAGAATATAAGACAGAAAATTCCCCTTGTGCTTTTATAGTCTCCAATCTAGTTTCTCTTATAATTACTCAGAAGCATTTCTCTTCACTGACAGGAACGTGGAGGGTATGTCTATACTGCAATAAAACACCTGCAGCTGGCGAGTGTCAGCTGACCTGGGAGCCTGGGTCAGCTCACCTGGGCCAGCCACAGGTGTTTTAATGCAATGTAGACATACCCTTAGTCAATATTTTCAAACAAGGCGCATATAACATGCCTCAGAAAAAGCCAAGCTATAGATATTTAACATCCCTTGTGAAAAGGTGGGAAATGAGCTATTTTCCTTTTGCCAGTGCAATAATACTTGCAGTACAGAACCAATGCAGAATCTGTACGTCTTTACAAGAACACCCAGGGCACAGTGAGGGCTCACAAGAGGACACTGTCCATGCACAGAAATAAGTCTTCAAGTTATGCTTAGGCATAATCATACAGCAGGCACACCAAGGTCTACAGGTTCACCCCTCTTCTGAGATCTGGGGTATGTCTACACTGCAATTAAATACCTGCAGCTGGCCTGCGCCAGCTGACTCAGGTTCATGGGGCTCGGGCTGCAGAGCTGTTTAATTGCAGTTTAGACGTCTGGGCTTGGGATGGTCTCCGTGCTTGGGAGACCTGAGCCCGAACATCTACACTGCAGTTAAACTGTCGTGTAGTCAGAGCCCTGTGAGTCCGAGTCAGCTGGCACAGGCTAGCTGCGGGTGTCTAACTGCAGTGTAGCCATATCCCTGGGCACCAAGAGTGACTTATGTTTGACTGTCATATTTAATCCTTTCATATTACAGCAATTGACTCAACTATCTTACAAGTGTGGAACACGTTCCTATGGAGCATCCTTGGATTCTATATAAATCTGTAGGGTATATGTGCCTCTAGAACACTGATATGATGTAAAACTCTGCAGCGAGCTAGTTAATTTCTAATGTTCTATGTGGTTTAGTTTCTACTGATTCTTTTATTTAGGGCGCTAATGTGATGGGTATAGTTAGCTGTTCTTACTCTTTCCTGTGTAGGCACCAGTGTAATGGGGCAGTAATTTCCCGTTGTGGACAGCCCGAGGTCAGCTGGTGGGGCTGGAGAAATGCAGATGACGAACACCTTGTCCAGTCAGTGGCCAAAGCATGTGCCTCAGACGCTAGGTCCAAAAGCAGCAAATTAATGAATGGAAACTGTTCCAGAGACTTCTCCAATGGAGGGGACCTCTCTGATGTGGAATTTGGTGAGTTCATCAGCCCATCCATTTCTGAAATGGCTAGAGCTTTGTATGTGAGTGTGATCTCCTGTGTATAGTATAAGATATGTGGGAGTGACTGTGTGTTTACAGAGTGTGTAGGATTCCTCTGTGCACAGTGCATGCACATTGTGGTTCCTGTATGACTTTGTTGCAGATAGTGTCAAAGCATTTGTTTAATTACTCTTTGGTTGTCCTTTTTCTTTCCATAGATTCCTCAATTTCTAATGCTTCAGGAGCAGAAAGTTTGGCCATCCAGCCTCAGAAGCTTTTGATTTTGGATGCACGTTCTTATGCAGCTGCTGTGGCTAACAGAGCCAAAGGTGGAGGCTGTGAGTGCCCAGGTAAGTAGTGTTTGCTCTCATATCAGTTTATATATCAGCTTGACAAAGCTCTGGCTGGGATGATTTAGTTGGGGATTGATCCTGCTTTGAGCAGAGTGTTGGACTAGATGACCTTCTGAGGTCCCTTCCAACCCTGATATTCTATGATTCTATGATTATATGAAGGTAGTCAAAAGGACAGATACACATTTAAAGGGACATGGGGCTCGTCTACAGCAAGGGGTTTTGCACCACGAAGTGTAGTTACAACAGTGTTGCAAGTCTTTAGAGTCACATAGCTGCAAGCCAAAACTTTTTACACTGGTGTAATGCATTGCATGAAAGTTTGTATCAATATAGCTATCAGTGAGCATGAAAACTCAGTGTAGTCAGCCTGTACTTACTTGAAAGGGACAGAGTTAGTTGCCAGTTGATGCTGTGCTTCAAAGCGTAAGACTAAATCAGTAACAATATACAATTAACACTGAACTATGTACAGTATGTTGAATAGTCTTTCTTCACTGAATCATATATTTAAACTTACATGCAATATAAAAACACACTAAAGATTAATGTATAGATTAACTATAAAAATACAAGAGAAAACCCAAAACAAAACTCAATAAACCATAGTGGGTAATAGTGTTGCAGGATTGTTATACGTGGGGAAACTTTTTTGCAGAGACACAGCACTCTTAGTATTTCTGGAACAGCTCCCATATACAAATGTAATTAAAATACTTATTTATCCTGCATTTGTGAAGTTTACCAAAGATTATTACATTCTATGTGTCACGGAGTGTGGGGGGACACAAGACCTTGCACCCCCGGCTTCCTGCGATTCACCATGACTCTCAGCCAGCCAGTAAAGCAGAAGGTTTATTTAGACGACAGGAACACAGTCCAAGACAGGTCTTGCAGGCACAGACAACAGGACCCCCCTCAGTTAGGTCCATCTTGGGGTCCCAAGGCACCCCAGCCCCCTTGGGAGGTCAGAGCCCCGTCTGCCTCCCAGCCATATCACCAGCCAGCTCCCGAAACTCTCCCTTCAGCGACCCCTCCCACAGCCTTTGTTCAGTTTCCCGGGCAAAGGTGTCACCAGGCCTCTAACCCCTTCCTGGGTTCTCATGTTACATGCTCAGGTATTCTCCGTCGGTCAGTCTCCCATCCCCCATTGCAGACTATCCTAGCCACACTCCCCTGTCAGCATTCAAAGACCACAGTAAGAACAGTCCCAGTTCGTCACACCATGTTCTTTGTCACCATTTGTGAATTGTGGGTAGTATGAGCAGGAAGCTTTTTGATGACCATTAGCAGATGGGAATACATCCTGGTTAAATTCCATCATTGGAGAATATGGGAGAATACCAGACAGGAAAATTACAGGTAGGAAAGGCAAAGCTATTTCAGTAATATCTAAGGTGGCCCTCTGAGATCTTTGATCAGAATAGCTGCACTTTGGGACATAGCTGCTGGTGGTGAGAGAGGGAGCTTAAATGTCCATATAGCTTCCAAAAAGTATAAAGGAACTCATGATTAATGGAATGAAATGTCTAAATGGAAAGCACAATGCAGTACAGCAACTTATCTTGAGTTTCAAGATGAGGATGCTTGAACAGTTTGTAGGGAATTTCCAGACAGCTATGTTAGCTTCATTAAATTTGATACCCACATCTTGGTCACATTTTTAATAAAATACAGTCAATCCAACAGTACACTCTGGAGATGAAGTCAGAATACAACCATTAAGTGTAACAGCCTTTGTAAGGAGCAGTTTGTTGGCCTTTCACAGACCATATGCTTCATCTTCAAATATTGATGACTTTTAAAAAATAATTTGGATATTGTCTTCATGGCTCAGAAAGGGCCACATTATCCCTGGCTTTAGCATGGTGATTAGAGGTGGTAGAGGAAAGGTGCCTTCTTCCCCACTCTACGCAAGGGCTAGGGATTGTGCACTCCATGCAGTCATAGGATGCAATCCTTCCTAAAGAGGTCCCTGAAGAAGAGGGGCCCTCCGCACTGCCTTTGGAGCTAGCAAGGCATTGCAGGGGGCAGGGGGGGCACATTACAGGAAATGGTTCATCCTGTGCACTCTCCTGCACATCAGGGCATTTGGTGGGGAGCGGAAGATGGTGCCTCCTGGAGCTCCACATGGGGCAGTAGTGCTCCACACCATTCCCAATGTAGATCACTGGCTAAATGGCACAATCTGGTTCTAAAGTTTAGCCTGAAAGATCTGGGATATGCGTACAATACTATTTACGTTCGGATCAGCAATTAACCCTGTTGAATTTTGTGGATCTCTCTCCTCAGTTTGTAGCAAAGTCAAAGAGTATAAAGTCAAAGAGTTGCACGCAATATTTACTGGCTTGCAAATTGCACCAAATCATCCAGGCTGTGTGGGCTAAAGGATAGATCTCCAGGAGCTCTGGGATCCCATTTATGTGGTCTACAGATGCAAGCACAAAGTTGGAGGCATCTGTTAAAGTCCTCTGTGTGTGTGTAAGATGTGCCTGTGGTCCAGGAAGAAGACCATACTAGTAGGCCACACCTGACAGAACTGCAGCCTGATATTATTTAAAGTCCATTCCCTCAGGACATATAGTGTATTTCATATGAGGCAGTTTATTTAATCTGCTAATCAACTGGTCAGATGCATAGTACAGAAGTAAGATAAACTTAGGGATGGTCATCTAAAGGGCATGATCCTGAAACATGCTGAGCCTGAGCACTTCCTATGAGTATCTGCACTGATTCTGCCAACCCATCTAGGGTGAGTAGTTTGAGTATAGACTACAGGTTTGTCCAGAGGAAAGCTTCTTAGGACTTGCACAAATAGTCCCTTCCATTCTCTGTCTACTGCAGCCTTGAGTATTTCTCATCTGAGTGACACTTGTCACTTCCACAGAGTAGATGGGGTGAAGTAAGTAACCTCTTTGGTCTTCCCAAGAGGTAAGGGGAAGTAAATCATCTTTAATTTTAAGGTTTAAGGACAATCATGAATTGACAGTCATTTTCAGATTGCTCAGTCTTTTTAGAGCATTGTATAACTTCTAGCAGTGTAATACCACTACCCCTATGGGGAGCTGTCTGTGCACTGCTTCTTGTGGTATGAAATGGAACAGTAAAAAAACAAATAAATTAAAAAACCTCAACAACCTTTTGCCAATAGACGTCTCCCTGGCCCTGGCCCTCTGCTTAATAGACATTGCCAGACATACACCAAATTGTGTGCTAGTTCTGTTATGGTGTAAGTCAGTTTGGAAACCAGTTCTGCAGAGGTGAAAAGATAATGCATTAACGTGTTGTTTCACCTAACAGCAGACAGCAAGGAAGATTCATAAGTCTGCACAGTGACTTAGATCTCCATCATAATTTCAGTAGAGAAACAAGCACATGTATTTTCTTTATATTGTCACAATAGTTACCAGTACTTCCAGTTTTTCCACCATTTGTTGTAAAGTCTGGAATACCAGCTGAAGTTCAAGCACAAATTTTTGTCTACAGGAGATGGTGCTAAACGGCACTATTTCATCAATCCACAACTGCAGCAGTTTGTTTTTATAGAAAAGCTGCTTTTTTAACTTAATATTCATGTTGTTTTTAATTCCTCCTCTTGGTTTTTATAATTTTCTACAGAGTATTATCCAAATTGTGAAGTGGTGTTCATGGGGATGGCAAACATCCATTCTATCCGGAAGAGCTTTCAGTCGCTGCGCTTGCTCTGCACACAGATGCCAGACCCAGGAAAGTAAGTGGGCATTTGAGGTTTTTTTCTTTCTTAAATTATATATTTGTGTCTAACTCTCATTCTTCCCCTGATATTTTCTAGACTGAATTAAGCAGGTGTTTATTCTTCCACAGCCTTCTCTTTGTAAACATGCTACAGTTATATTTTTCACTTCATATAGCTTGAGCAAAAGGAAGTTACTGACTCATTAATTCTAAAATGGAGATAGCAAATGAGACTGGGATCAAAATTGGATCCTTTGCTTTAATATTAGTGTGTATTACTGTCAGGTGGGCTTGGTTAGTCTCATCTGTGCATCCTGCAATATTTCAGCTTTCCCCTGATTTTCTAAAACTGCTATTGTAACATGCTATCTAACCCCAGAAGTGTGTAGCAGCCTGACTTTCCTTTGAAAGGCACTAGTGTTGCTCCATGAACTTATCACATGCCTAATATCCTCACCCTGGAGACCCAGCCCATCATTTCCATGGTATAACTGACCTCCAGTGACAATAACTGAGGGGTCTTCTGACCGTGAATCTTCCCCAGAACACTGCAGCATTTCAACCCTCTTTCCTCTAATAGTTTCTCCTGGTTCTTCATTTGCTGCCATGAGCCTTTCACATTCACTGTCTGTATTCACTGTCTGTAGACTGTCTGTATTTCCTGCAAACTTGTGAGAGCATTAACAAGATAATTTAAGTGAAAAATAGATTCAAGGAAAGCACTCATTGTTTAGTACTATAATAGGAGTTTAATTATGATCACTCTGATTTTTTTTAATTCAAAGATCTCAGCTGGGAAACATTAAAGAGAGCATAAACTATCCTCCCTTGGTTTTTCTTTAGTTGGTTATCAGCACTGGAAAGTACCAAGTGGCTGCAGCACTTGTCTGTGCTTCTGAAATCTGCACTATTGGTAGTGCATGCAGTAGACAGAGACCAGCGACCAGTCTTGGTGCACTGCTCGGATGGCTGGGACCGAACCCCACAGATAGTGGCGCTGTCCAAACTGCTGCTAGATCCATATTACAGGACCATAGAGGTTTGTAAACCATCCATTGATGCATGGGAGGACGGCTGAGTTTGGGTTTCTTTGCAGATTAATAGGGAAGGCTATGAATGATTGAACTCAGGTTTCCTCATCTGAAAATGTACTAATGTTATCACCAGTCTTGCTGCATCTGATGGATGCTATTGAGTGATATGGTGGGTTAATTGTGAAGGGAATTAAATAGAAGAAAAGCAGGTTGAAAGAAAACATGATTAATTCTGAAAAGAAATCAGGTATATTAAGCATGAATACTTCCCATGAGACGTCTCAGACTGTGTCCTGGAGAATTGTTGCATTCGGACTGACAAAAAATCTGGAGACCTTCAACTACACTTTCTTTCCCTCAGGGTTTCCAGGTGCTAGTGGAGATGGAATGGCTGGATTTTGGCCACAAGTTTGCAGATCGCTGTGGCCATGGTGAGAATTCGGATGACCTAAATGAGCGCTGCCCAGTATTTTTACAGTGGTTGGACTGCGTCCATCAGCTCCAGAGGCAGTTCCCTTGCTCTTTCGAGTTTAACGAAGCATTCCTTGTGAGTTGTGGCTTGAGAGATTACTGTTTTATTAAATACTTCTAAACCAGTAGACAGAGCTAACACACTGAATAGCCCTGAGGGGTTTCCGATTTTCCCATCTACCTTATGTCACAGTGCAGCCTGATAAACAGATGTGACAACAGTTGAGCCTTGTCTGGCAGACAAAACCACTTGTCTTCATGGAATCTGTGATCAGTTCTCTCTGAAAGCAGGGATGGGGCCTTCTAGGACTTCCTTTAAACTTTAAATAAAGAAAGAAATCATGTCCTGGATTCAAATGTCCACAGAATAGGGACAGCACAGGTAATGGCAATGCAAACTTCCCCAGCACTTCTCCGCTACGCTATTTCATCCTGACTTGGAGAGGATGTCTCTAAGAGCAAGAAGGAGTTTCCATTCTCTTTCTCTGCTAAAACTGCCTAGAAAGTGTGGCTTTTCTGGTATTGACAACTGTCCTCTGAGAAGTTTGGCTAAGGCTACTGAAGTCACATCTCAAGGGCACCAAGCCAGTCACACCTTTATTGTCAGTCACTAACTACATGGATGGATTTGAACTGGCAACCTAGAGGAGAAAGTTTCTATAATGCTTCACCAATCCCCTGAGTAATTCCATCTTCTGGTCTTTTTAGAGCTGAAGGCCCTAATCTAGCAAAGCAGTTAAGCATGTGTTTAACTTTTAACACAAGTAGTTCTATTGAAGTCAATTGGACTATTGACATGCTTAAAGATAAGTACATTCTTAAGGGCTTTGCTGGATTGAGGCTATAGTGTGGAGTGAGCTACAATCTAGATTGGATGAGCTTCCTGTGTCTCCATTTGTGCCACAAGACAGAAGATGGTGTGGACTGCACTCTCAGCAAGTTTGCAGATGACACTAAACTGGGAGGAATGGTAGATACGCTGGAGGGTAGGGATAGGATACAGAGGGACCTAGACAAATTAGAGGATTGGGCCAAAAGAAATCTGATGAGGGACCTAGACAAATTAGAGGATTGGGCCAAAAGAAATCTGATGAGGTTCAACAAGGACAAATGCAGAGTCCTGCACTTAGGATGCAAGAATCCCATGCACTGCTACAGATGAGGGACCGAATGGCTAGGTGGCAGTTCTGCAGAAAAGGACCTAGGGTTCACAGTGGACGAGAAGCTGGATATGAGTCAACAGTGTGCCCTTGTGGCCAAGAAGGCTAACAGTATTTTGGGCTGTATAAGTAGGGGCATTGCCAGCAAATTGAGGGACGTGATCGTTCCCCTCTATTCAGCATTGGTGAGGCCTCATCTGGAGTACTGTGTCCAGTTTTGGGCCCCACGCTACAAGAAGGATGTGGAAAAATTGGAAAGAGGGGGCTGGAGCACATGACTTATGAGGAAAGGCTGAGGGAACTGGGATTGTTTAGTCTGCAGAAGAGAAGAATGAGGTGGGATTTGATAGCTGCTTTCAACTACCTGAAAGGGGGTTCCAAAGAGGATGGATCCAGACTGTTCTCAGTGGTACCAGATGACAGAACAAGAAGCAATGGTCTCAAGTTGCAGTGGGGGAGGTTCAGGTTGGATATTACGGAAAAAATTTTCACTAGGAGGGTGGTGAAGCACTCGGTTACCTAGGGAGGTGGTGGAATCTCCTTCCTTGGATGTTTTTAAGGTCAGGCTTGACAAAGGCCTGGCTGGGATGATTTAGTTGGGGTTGGTCTTGCTTTGAGCAGGGGTTGGACTAGATGATCTCCTGAGGTCCCTTCCAACCCTGATATTCTATGATTCTTTGATAACCTATTATTGCCAGCTCTGTGCTTTTTTACTTTATTGATGTTATGTGACAACTGTGTCAAAAATTCCCTTCTCTACCATATCCTCCAGGGCCCTGGTTTCAGTATGTAAGTTTTAGACACAGCATGTAAATAAACATGCAACCTTTATGTTCTATTTCCTCCTAACATTTTATATAATTCAAATATGATGGTGCATAATGGAGAGGAGCCCATTGTGCTGGTATGTTCTTGTCATTAGCTTTCTAAGAAGGCATACAAAAAATGCTAAATAGATTTATATGGCATCCTCCACAAAAGCCTTACATATACAGCCTCACATGAATGGTAGATTAATTGCTTCTTAAGCATGAAAGTTATATCTTTCACATACACCATATATGCTGCCATATGACTCTATCTGTATTGGTCTGTACAGGTCAAATTGGTGCAGCACACCTACTCTTGCCTCTTTGGTACATTCCTGTGCAACAATGCGAAGGAGAGAGGAGAAAAACATACTCAGGAAAGGACATGTTCTGTCTGGTCTCTGCTGCGGGCAGCAAACAAAGCCTTCAAAAACCTGCTTTACTCCTCCCAATCAGAAACTGTATGTATCATTCATTCCCCACCACCTGTGGGAGAGTCCCTTTAGGGATTCTTCATTACAACTGTGGGAGTGGGGGAAAGTGACTGTCCCGAAAATATCCACCTCAAGGAAGCATCCCAGTTATTCCTGTGGGTGATGATTTGACTTTGCCTGTTGCATGAATGTACTGCCTAAAGATAACTGTGAAACTCCTTGCCAGAGGATGTTGTGAAAGCCAAGATTATAACAGGGTTCAAAAAAGAACTAGATAAGTTCATGGAAGATAGGTCCATCAATGGCTATTAGCCAGGATGGACAGGGATGGTGTCCCTAGCCTGTTTGCCAGAAGCTGGGAATGGGCAACGGGATAGATCACTTGATGATTACCTGTTCTGTTCATTCCCTGTGGTGCACCTGGCATTGGCCACTGTCAGAAGACAGGATACTGGGCTAGATGGACCTTTGGTCTGACCCAGTATGGCCGTTTTTATGTATATTCTTATGGATATGCCTCAACTTACCCAGTGGATAGTTACCATTTGAGTGCCATAGCAAGGTTTTATGTTTGAATAGCCTTAGCTAACCTCTGCTATGCCATGCACTCCCACACCACCAGAGCCATCTTTCTGAAGCATTTACATTACATTGTCTTCAGCAGACCACTGGGACATACCAAATGCAGCCATAGAGAGTATCTCTATGTCAGATATATGCTGTATTCCTTGTAATAAAATATTTTGTGTGCTTGACAAGATATGGTTACCAACAAGAGATCTCTGTCAAGTTACGCTGGGGGGATAAGAGTTGTGTCATAAGATATCTTAAACTCCCAGATAATTTTGTCAAAAAACTGGCATAACAAAAAATGTTATGGAAGTCTTTGAACATATCTAATTTCATCACTTTCACTTTTTCAGTTAGTTCTCCCATAGTAATAAACTCTCACGAGGGACTTGGGGGAGAGAGGCACAGTCATCTTTATGTATATTTGATAGAATAATATGTTAGGCATTCAGATATTGTGGTGATGGGCATGCTATAAGAACCTGTAGAGAACTGTTAAAATGTCACTGTGTTTATGGAAGTAAGGATTTTTCTAAGTTATTTAAACCCTTCCCCTCCCAAAATCCCCATATCTGAAGGAAAGGATAACAACTTGATAGCTACGAGTAAATTATTAAAAATGCCATTGTTGCTACTTAGACCCCAAATCCAGTAGAACCTCTGGACTGCAAACCTGAGCTGTAAAATTAAAGTAGCAAAATTCCTGGAGAGAGACGGATTAATGTTCCTAAACATGAACATGCCACATTTTCTCTTTCTAGGTGCTGTATCCAGTGTGTCATGTGCGTAATTTAATGCTCTGGAGTGCTGTTTACCTACCATGTTCTTCCCCCTCCACCCCTGCTGATGACACCTGTGCCCCTTACCCAGTTCCAGGCTCCAGCCCTGAAGATCAGTCTCTGGGCAGGTGAGCCTAGAGCCCAGAAATCCCATCCTGTAAAGTAAGATCAACAGAGAATGTTGTGGGATTTAGGGAGAGGAGCACTTGGTGTGGGAGGAAGGTGTGGGACTGTTTAAATGACTAACAAAACCCCTGTATGGTCATTTCAATTTTGAAAGTATTCAGCTTCCTGGATTATTGTGTAACAAACACATTAGAGCAGAAAATAGGTTTGAAATAAATTAACAGATAAAACACAGTTCAGTATACGGAGTATCCCCAAATAACATCCCAGGTTCTGTCCCCAATTGCAGAATTTATTCTGCTTTGGTGTACTGCCTCTGTATTGTGGAGGCCAGAAAATATGGGATATAGCACCTTCAGGGCTGCCTTGCATTCGTTGTGCACACTGCTTTTTTTCTGTATTACATTCATGTAACTACTGCTTCCCTTCTCTTTAGAGAAGCCTTTTCCAGTCAGATGATTCTGGGTGCATGCTAGTTAGGAAGTGGAGCTTTGGTGTAGAGGGATGATTCTGGGAACGTCTGAAGATTAGTTGAAGAAATTTTCTTGATGGAGAGAGAAGGCCAGATGGGACGGTGCTGGAGCAACTTTGAACCATAAATGATCAGACTGTACTGTTAGATAAAACCGTAGTGCATTGCAGAACTCCACAGTAGTGAGTGACTGGTTGTGATTTCAAAATGGGGGAGCTCATTAATAATAACCTGTGTAATTAAATATTTTAAAAAGTAACTTTTGATTCTGATTTTGTACCTCTGTAGGCTACCAAAGACAAGATCGTTTGACAATCTGACAACGGCCTGCGACAGCAACGTGCCTACAACTAACCGACGTAGTAGTGATCCCAGCCTAAATGAAAAGTGGCAAGAGCACCGTAGGTCCCTGGAGCTGAGCAGCCTTGGCAACCCAGGGGATGATCCATTTGATGGGGACAGCCTGAGCAAACAAGGCAGGGCTCTTGTTGGAGCAGAGCTTTCAGTTGCAGCTGGCGTGGCAGAGGGACAGATGGAGAACATTTTGCAGGAGGCCACCAAAGAGGATGTTGGTCTGGAGGAGCTCTTGAGGGGTACCCTGGAGACAACAGGCAAAGAGGATGAGGAGGAGGTTATCCTGGGTAAGGAGAACAGAACTGAAAATCTTGATGGGTATGTTGATGGCCTCTATGAAAAGACTGAGATGGATACAGATACTTTAATAAACAATCCAGTGTCCAATCCACATCCAGTTTCACAAGGTTCTTCTGAGCTTAAAAGACAACAGGAGGAGCCTATGGATCTCAGTAACAGTATCCAGAAGTTACTTCCGGTGAAAGGACTACAAACTGTCCCCTTGGAGAGTACTGTAAATAGTGACATTCAGAAGAATGTGGAGGAAGGTGTTAGTAGACTTAATATAGAAGCAGAGAGCCCTCCATTGCCCATCACAATCCAACATGAGGCAAAAACATCCAACATGGAAAGTTCTACCGAAACTTTAACAGAGAATGGAGCAAAGCAAGAGCTGATTCAGAAAGGCGCTCGCCACGGACCTCGTCTGATGGACAACAGTGCTGAAGAACTTTCTCAAACAACTGAAAACAGACCTGAGGGGGAAAACATGATAGAGCTACACAGACTGGGAACAAAAGTAAACAGGACTTCTAACAGCAGCAACACACACAGCTCAATGCCTTCCCCTTGTGCCTTGCCTTTAACTGAATGTAAAGATGAGATTGTGTGTAATGGGGAGCTGGAGACTGAGAACAAGGTGACAGAGAAACCTGCAGGATTTAATATTACCCAGAAATACCCTGCAGCAAATGGACACTGTGTGAATGGAGAGGATGATAGGATCAAAACCTCTCTGAGCTGGCAGGTCTCTACAGCTAGTTGTAGTTCTGCCCAGTTTCACTTGAGGAACTTGCACCATAAGTGGGTGCATGGCCATTCTGGGAGGCAACAGACAGTTAGCAGCCCAGACCAACCCACCAGGAGCCACTTGGATGATGATGGGATGCCAATCTACACTGATGTTATCCAGCAGCGCCTGCGTCAGATTGAAACTGGGCATCAGCAGGAAGTGGAGATATTGAAGAAGCAAGTGCAGGAGTTGAGGAGCCGGTTGGAGAGCCAGTACCTGAATAGTTCACTACGTTTCAATGGCGATTATGGGGATGAAGTGGTAAGTGTAATAGTAATTCAGCCACTGCTGACAATAGTGGATTGGTTAATCACATTTCTGGAGCCCACAGGAGTAAGTCAGCTGTTTGGTAAGAAATATTGTTGTTTGGTTAGACAGTGAATTTTGGTTATGGTAATATTTTTTTTAAAAGTCTCAGTCATGCCATGAGTGCAGGGGACTGGACTAGATGACCTCTCGAGGTCCCTTCCAGTCCTGTGAGTCTATGCTGAAAAGAGCATGCTGTTCTCACTTTCAGGTGCAATCTCTTTATTGTGAAAGTGCAACTTACAAATGTAGATTTTTTTTTCACATAACTGCACTCAAAAACAAAACAATGTAAAACTTTAGAGCCTACAAATCCACTCAGTCCTACTTGTTCAGCCAACCACTAAGACAAACAAGTTTGTTTACATTTACGGGAGATAATGCTGCCCACTTGTTATTAACAATGTCACCTGAAAGTGAGAACAGGCATTCGCATGGCATTATTGTAGCCAGTGTTGCAAGGTATTTATGTGCCAGATATGCTAACTATTCATAGGCCCTTTCATGCTTTGACTTGTAGATTGCACTATCTTTTTTTAATCTTTTTTACAGTGCAAATATTTGTAATAAAAAATAATAATATAAAGTGAGCTTTGTATTCTGTTATAATTGAAATTAATGTATTTAAAAATGTAGAAAAACATCCACAAATATTTATAATACATTTAAATTGGTATTCTATTGTTTAACAGTGCGATTAAAACTGTGATTAATCGCGACTATTTTTTAAATCTCGCGATTATTTTTTTTAATTGTTTGACCGTCCTAATTTACACACACCTTTGGTGTGCTGTGGAATGAGGCTAATCACGGTGTCTTTACACAGTTTTTGCTGTGCCCATAAAATGGTTGAGAGAACTTTTTAAACATTTACATATAATTTATTGGGCCAGATCTATAGGACTGGCTGGAATGATTTAGTTGGGGTTGGTCCTGCTTCGAGCAGGGGGGTGGACTAGATGACCTCCTGAGATCTCTTCCAACCCTGATAGTCTATGATTTTATGACTGGCCCTTTGGTCCTTGGCATAATCAATGAAATTCAATGTTGATAAATGCAAAGTAATATATGGAGATATACCTATCTCATAGAACTGGAAGGGACCTCGAAAGGTCATCGAGTCCAGCCCCCTGCCTTCACTAGCAGGACCAAAGTACTGATTTTTGCCCCAGATCCCTAAGTGGCCCCCTCAAGGATTGAACTCACAACCCTGGGTTTAACAGGCCAATGCGCAAACCACTGAGAGGCGGGTGCAAAGGTGGTTGTTCTGGGAGCTGGGAACCACTGAGGCACAGGGATGTGGGCCATGTCCCCTTCCCTCAAAGATGTGGCCTACACTAGGCTCAGTAGTGGTGGCGACTTAGAGTTGCTATGCTGCCTCTGCCACCCAGGGATTTCCCTTACAAAAGGGGAGTCTTCAAGTGCCAGTAAAGCCAGCTTTTATAGCTTTGCCACATTAAAGCTTCTTAAAGCAGCTAGAGTAGGACCTGAATCTTGAGCATAGTTTGAGTGTAGTATGTTTGCTACAGCTAGACTACATCACGTATGTAGTTGTTGCAACATTATGGATACTATAAAAAGATTACAAATTGTGTAGTATCCACAAGTTTGTAATTGTAAATATATAATCTGTAGGTAAAGCAAATACATTGGGCACATGTGGGTGTGGTGAATTTTTAAATTCCCTTCAATCCTCCTCCCCTTACCTATTTTTGCCTATTCCTCCCGTTTGAATTAAACTGCAGTAACAAGACTTCAAAAAAGAAGCCAATGCCCCTACTTCACTCTGCTTCTTGGTGGTAGCGTAGCTTCAAAAAACAAACAGCAGGAGCCACTGGAACTTTGAAGCCCCTCTACCACCAAGCAACTGTGTTTGTGGCGTCTTTTTTCAGAGGCCTGTCAGTTAGTTTAGAGAAGGGAAGAGCAAAGAGTTAGAGAGAGGGAGGTGGAAAGCAGCAGAGAAGGAATGGGGGAGGGGATGGAAAGGATGAGGATGGTAGGGGAGGCATAAGGGAATACTCAGATTGTAAACTCCTTGGAGCAGGGACCATGTCTTCCTATGTGTTTGAACAGCACATAGTACATTGGGATACTGATCCTGAATGAGGTCTCTGAACACTACCACAATACAAATTACAATAATAATGAAAACTTCACTCTCTATACACACATGTAGTGTGTCAAGTATCAGAGGGGTAGCCGTGTTAGTCTGTATCCACAAAAACAATGAGGCATCTGGTGGCACCTTTAAAGACAGATTTATTTGGGCATAAGCTTTCGTGGGTAAAAAACCCCACTTCTAGGTGCCACCGGACGCCTCATTTTACATGTAGTGTGTATATTTTGTACAGCTACAGAATTATAAAAGATTTACATTTACAATATTTACAGGTTTTACTCCTGGGGGGAATTCTGTGCAAAAAATTAAAAATTCTGTGCACAATATTTTAAAACGCTGCATAATTTATTTGTCAAAATAACATTATATAATCACACCAGTTTCAATTATTTTGAATATCTGTCAGCAACTATGTCTATAACAATACAGACAACAACAAAAATTCCCCCAGGACTAGAGAGTTAAAGAAAACCCTACGACAACCCAGTTCCTGCTTCTCTGCCCCCTCCAGCCAGGGACCCAAACACCTGCACCCCCCTCTCCCTCCCTCCCCCCAAAGCCCAGCCACAGGGTGCCTCCACAGCCCAGACATCTACATCCCCTACCCCCCAGAGCCCAGCCATGGGTCATCCCCCAGCCCAGACATCTACACCCCCTGTTCCGAGCCCAGACACCTGCACCCCTACCCCCCAGAGCCCAGCTGCAGGGCACCCCCAGCCCAGACACCTGCACCCCCTACCCCTCCAAAGCCAGCTGCGGTGCGTTCCCCAGCCCAGACATATGCACCCCCTGCCCTCAGTGCCCAGCTGAGGGGTGCCCCACATCCTATACACTCACACCCCCAGAGCCCAGGGATCCAGAGAAAGAAACACCCTGATGCTGGGTCCTGGGCTTGTACGGAGTTCCCTGTAGTGCACACCATGTCTTTCTTTCAGGGTGTGTCGGGGACTGCAGCTGCCAGGAACCCTCCAGCTCCCCCTTCCCCTGGCAGTGTCTTCTATTTGCAAGCTGGGGAGCTGAGCTCTGCTGGGTCTAGTGGCCCCTAGTGGTGGCCAGCAGCTCTGCAGAACCATTTCTATGAGGGGAAAAAGGAAATTCTGTGCAGAACATTAATTCTGCACAAATTCTGCATTGCACAGTGGCGCAGAATTCCCCCAGGAGTAATGTTTATAAGCATTCTTTGGAAGTGGCAAAAGGGTATAGTTGACAGAGGGGCTGGATAGTCCTAGGCGCATTCATTGGGAAAGACTTGCATGAACTTCTTGGGCCACTGAGGTTGCAGCTAATATAATAATTGCTAAATGCTGATTTTGTGACTGCAAGGTCTGCTGAGCATCATTCAAAATGGTCTTCTCTCATTAGCTGGAGCTTGGGTTCCTGACAGAAATGTGACCCAATTCAAAGTATTCTTATTGAGATAAGGGCCTTCACAATGTGTAATGTATGGGCAGATTGAAATGGATTTTCAAAAGCACTTAGGTGCCTATCTACATCTTTAGGCACCTACATACTTTTACAAACCTGGGTCCTAGTCTCTATCTTTTATTTCTGCCTGGTCTTGATAGGTATATTCTCTAAGCTAGCATCAGAGGTACCAGCTCTCCAGCACTGAAAGGTGGAGAACAAAAGTTCTTGAATCTCTCATGTCTGGAAGAGCTGTCATGTGTGTCCTTTGACCAAAGTCAGTTGAAATAAAGTTCAACCTGGCAAGGACGCATCAGTCCAAAGACTTACTTGTGGAAGTGGGCTCTAATCCTTACCTCTACATGTTTGATTTTAACTTGCATCTTCCCAAAGGAACTATCAGAAACAGCAAGGCATACATATTATAAATATTGTTTTTTAAAATGAAAGAACTTTGGAAAGGAGATAGGGCTGAGAAATTGGAGTGACAGGGTACAGCTGTGAAATTTGTGAGGTGCCCACTGTTAATCATTTGCTATGTGTCCGGAAACTTGCACATACACTGCAACAGGTAGATTTTAACCCCATGTCCAGCATTAAAGGGTTAACAGTTTCATTCTGTCCTGTTGCAGAACACCATTACACAAGCAAACTGCCTCACTTGTTGCACATTTAGTCCCATCCCAGATAGAACTCTTGTCTGTACTGGCACAACCTAAATTATAGGTATGTAAGTATATCTGACCTGAGCCCCTCCAGTCCAAGCATAATCTATCTTTTCCTAGCAGGAGGTGCACAGATTCCCCCTTCCCAACTGTTTACTTCTGGTTCGTGTGGAAGTGGGAGTATGTGCAGGTTCTGTTCAGCTGTGTTTGTTTGCCAACAGACTTCAATACCCGACTCGGAAAGCAATCTGGATCAGAACTGCTTGTCTCGCTGCAGCACAGAGATTTTCTCTGAAGCCAGCTGGGAGCAGGTGGATAAACAGGACACAGAGGTACAGACTAAATCTCTGTCTGTGATATTCCTCCCTCTTTCCTTCTGTTAGGACATGATCTCCATAACATGGTTATACTACAGCCCCATGGTCACACCAGTTCTTGTAAACTATCCCCCTTGCCCTCACTTATCTCTAACACTTCAAATATCTGTGCCGAGGAGCCCTCTGCAGTCAGGTGTCTATGAACAATTTTTGAGAAACCATGGAAAGACAATAGCTGAAGGAAACCTGGACTAACACGTTCCCTGTAAACATGTTTGGCTTGGGTACCTTTTGAAGTATAGAAAGAAATCAGTGAGCTATAAATTAGGACTTCTTCTCTGTGTGGCTGGAGGGAATTTGGTGGATCACTTTCCGAGGAGAAGATTTCTGTCTTCTCTTTCTTTCAGTATTGCCAGGATTGAATCTGTCCAATTTAAGTAGCAGGGGGCACGTGTCCGTGTCTGTGCTCTTCATGGGCTTTATACGCTCAGGCCAGACTGATTTTTCAAGGGCTGTCTCCTTGACAAATTTGTCTTTGTGTTCTGTGTTTCACAGGTGACACGATGGCTTCCAGACCACCTCGCTGCACACTGCTATGGCTGTGACAGTACATTCTGGCTTGCCAGCAGGAAGCACCACTGCAGGTAACCTGTTCATAGAGAGTTGAAGGTGAAAGGGGAAGCAGCTGAACAGCGAGGCTGTCCTGAGTTGAACTGACCATTCTGTTTCTCGTAATTTAGGAAAGACTAGGAAGGATGTCTGGATAAGAGAAATTCTAGAGTAGGAGGACCATATGCACTGCTGAAGCAAGGAATCCAGCCTTCTTTGGGAAAACAAGGCTGTTTTTGCTCTTGGGTCCCAATTTATTTGCAATGTCTATTTCAAAAGCCAAACCTGCTATCAGCTCCATACCCGTTCAAACAGAGTCAGCCTTCCTTTTCCCTTAAATTGTGATTCAGAGACAGTCTGCTCTTTGCAGGCATATTTTTTTAAGTAAATGTAAATGTTATAAAATATTGTCTAAACCTTTTCCCATTCAGTACAACCAACATAGGAATCACATCTTTTTCAGTCACTGGCAGGGAATCTGCTACTTTCTGTCTCTTTTTCCTCTGCTCTGACACTCTTACCCCCCCCCCCCCAATTGCTTGTGTAAAGGTTTCTGAAATGGACGCCTGCCTGAAGTACAAGCTCATTGGATTAGCCTGAGCCAAACCTATTGCTGATAGGGGGCCATGCTAGATAGCACCAGGTGGCACTGGCCTATTGATTAAGTAGCATCCTGGCTTGGGACAGAGAATCCCAGTGAGGAGGGTTGGCAAACTGTGGGCCATGATGGGAAAACCCTCCGTTCACCACATTCCATAAATACAAGGTTTCAGTGAAACTACATCCCAGATTTCTTCCAAAAGTGGTTTCCCAATTCCACCTCAACCAACCCATCCATTTACCTACTTTTTCCCCAAACCACACAGCTCTCATGAGGAATGGCAACTCCATTCCCTCGATGTAGATAGGACCCTGGCCTTTTACCTACAAAGGATGAAGCCATTTCAAAAGTTGCCCAGGCTATTTGTTTCCGTAGTGAAGAGAATTAAGGGACAGGCCATCTCCACTCAGAGAATCTCCAAGTAGGTCTCAGGATGTATTATACGCTGCTACCAATTGTTGGGATGATCCCCACCTGAGGGATATGAGTCCATTCCATGAGACTGCAAGCATCAACCACAGCCGCACTCCACATCGTGCCCCTTGTACACATAGGTAAGGCAGCCACGTAGAATTCGGTACACACCTTTTCCTCTCACTATACTCCAGTATATGATTCCGCGATGGACGCCTCATTCAGCATTCGGTGCAGTGGTCCTCCATTCCACGGTTCCGTCATCTTCCTCGCTCCCGCCTCCTATATAGGTATTGCTTGTTAATCACCCTCAGTGGAATACAATAGGACTGTCACTCAAAGAAGAAGAGGAGGTTACTTACCTGTAACTGGAGATTCTTTGAGATGTGTGATCCCTATCTGTATTCCAATCCCACCCTCCTTCTCCTCTGTTGGGGATCTGGTATGTCTACGGTGGAGAAGGAACTGGAGACGCGGTCGGTCTGCCCTACCCTTTATCGCCTCAAGCGAAACTACAGGGTGGCACAAGGGTGCATGAGCAGACCAACGAGTAATACTACTTAGAAAAGCTCCAGCTCTGGGTGCATGGTGCATGCGCATAACCCTCAGTGGAATACAGTTAGGGACCACATACCTTGAAGAAACTCCAGTTACAGGTAAGTAACCCCCTCTTTATAAATCATATTTTCATGCTTCAGGGAATGAAGGTGTATCCCTATATTACTGAATCCCGTTGTTGGATATCGGAGCAGACAAGATGATCAGAGAAGATAGCACTTAAACAGATGGTGATCATCTGTTTTTGATGCTGTATTGCCCTTTGAAGCAGCAATGAGTTAAAGCATCTGCTGTGCTTTGTGTCCATTTTTATATTTTGTTCTTTTGAGAAGATAAACAAACCCAGTAAAGAATGACTAGAATAAGTTGAGCAGTTTTGATTTTCCCAAGATTCCTCATCTGTGTATATATATATATGACTTACAGCTTCAGATGAAAAGTATAAATGCTAGGTATTAAAATTACATACATCTGACATATTTGGTGAGAATTGAGCTCTGCTGTTTTCCTCTGTCCTTTCTCTAGTGGGTTTGCTTATTTTAGTTGTCCATTGCAAAGCGTTTCCCATTTAGCACTGACATCTTGCTTCCTCTGTCTCCCTGGAATCGCTTTGCCACTTAGCCTACAACTTTCCAGGCCTAGGCTCTAGAGGGCTCCTGTTCGGTGTGTACACTGGACATGCCTAAAGACCCTGGGAATTATAATCCCTTCAGGGATTCAGGTTTTATTGCAAATTGCCATTTAGTTCGTGCATTGCATGCCATTCTCAGAGTTTCCAACCTGGTTGGAACAGGCCATCCATATTGGTTGAGATGGCTTTCAAGGGACTAGCAAGAAATAAGTGACCTACAACAAGAAGATCAAATGTTTTCATATCTTAATGTTTCATTAATCCTGCTGCACAGGGTGGACCTGCTCACCCTGTCCCTGTGAGGGCGAAAATGAGGTTGAAAACCACATATTCTTTACTCTTGAGCAAGTTAAAGAAACTTCAGTGTCCTTTGTTGGCACCATTTGTGTCTTTTACTAGTTTCCCCTCTGAGCTCTTTCTCCCCTCCCTGCAGGGACATTGAACGTGTTGATCAAACCTGGTGAGCATTTGCAACAGCCTCTGTCTGTTGTCTATCTGCATTTCTTTGATAACTTCTCCAAACTAACTTTATTTCTCCCTGCCCTCATCTTTGTTCTTCACTTGTCCAGAAAACACCAGAAATGAATCCTGGGTGGATAGTACAGCCTGTCAGGTGTTTAGTTTCATATGACTGATCAAGCAGCTCTTTCCACAGAAAGGCATTTAGGACTCAGCTTTTTGTTATGTAATCCACATCACAGTTCAAACTAACCCCCACTTCAGTGAGTCATTTGTTTGAGAAACAAGAAACAAAATTCAGACTGGATATAAGGCATACATTTTTAACAGTGCGAGTAATTAACCCTTGGAACAACTTACCAAGGGTCGTGGTGGATTCTCCATTGACAATTTTCAAATCAAGATTGGATGTTTAAACCAAGATTGGAATTATTTTGGGGAAGTTCTACAAGGGGTTATTCAGAGGATCAGACTAGATGATCATGATCTGGCCTTGGAATCTGTGAATGCTTCACTTCTAATTGCAAGGAGCAACCTACAAATTTAATTCTTACCAGTTTATTTTGAACCCTTTTCCTTTATGTCTGAGTATTTTGTGAAGTGTGAATGATATAGGAGAGTGCTGGTGTGGCTGTGCCATTTTATCAGTAGTAAAAAATACCTTGGGGGAAGCAAGTAAGTAGAGCCTGGCGGAGAAAGGGTAAGGGTAGATGTTTATTACTTGGCGAGAGAAGGTGGGAGTGATAGCAGGATGTTGGGAAAGCAAAAGTCAGGTCGTCTCTCAGAGGAGGAATATGACATTTTCCATTGAGCTTCTGGTGTCTGTTAAAGAGGCAAGATGGATGAGATTGAATGAACCTCTAGCAGAGTACAAGGCCCTTCAGGAGTTAGGGGGAGAACCCTAAGAGAAAACAGATCAGGTGTGTGAGACAAGCTGCTGATCTAAACAGATTTTAAAAAATGTTTTGCTGCTTTTCTCCAGAAAACCATTTTGTTCTAGTCTGTCAACAGTAAGTTTCTGCTGGATAATTGTCCTTTCTGAAACAGAGCTCTAGAATATCTGAACTGCTTTCCTGCCGGGCTTCTCGGTATTGCATTGCATTAAACTGTTTTCACTCCTGCGGTTTTTTCTAATAGCAGTTTCTAATGGAGTCCATACGAAGACTTCAAAAACCACTGTACGAGTCTAGCCAAAGTGAGTTTCCTAGTGCTAAGGTTAGAGCTTTATAACCAGAAGCTGCTGTGCAGAGCTGGGGAAATTAGCCCATTGAGGTGAGAAATGGGATTTCCCTTTGCTGTCTGTCACTCCACCAGTTACTAGCATCAGGAAATCTTGTCTCCTGGCATTGAAAGATTAATCAAGGCTGCTAGACACATTCAGACTTTTCTGCCCATCAGTCTCTAGGCAGCAGGAAATCAAGATCTCCCCCCATAAGCCCCTACCGGCACAAAATCCTAGCACCAAAGAGTTAATGAGAAAAACATAAGCCAAGCAGATAAACTCTGGAAGCTTCTGTGTAAAATTTGAAAATTTCAGGTCCCTGAAGTACAGTGTTAACGTCTTAATAATGCCTGCCTAGTTTTGGAGGGCAGGGGTGTGAACTATAGTGCTCCTCAGCTTAGAATGATCAGAGCCAGGATTTGGGCGGGTGGGGGTGAAAAATTTAATCATTTTCAAGATTCCAAATTTATCCATGACTCCCCTGAGGTGCATGAGCCAGCATGCCTCCGCCGACTGACACCTGACAGGAATGTGTATAAGACTGCTTGTTCTGCTGCATTGTTATTGTCACTTTCTAAGCATGGAATACACAGCTGCTTATCCCATGGCTTTGCATGGTTCTGGTTGATTTTCACATTTTCTGTGTGCGGAAGTATGATGCCGCTATGGTTCCACTGAGCTACAACCATCGCAGCACAGACCTTTATTGGATCTTGGAGGTAGTGGGTAGACTACATTTGTTAAAGTTTTATCGTATTTTATCTGGCCCATATTTAAATCTTCCAAAGCATATACGTGTAAGAAACAAGAAAAAAGGCTTAGTTACCCCTTTGTACTCTCACTTCCCAAAAAGGAATACTGTAGTGTTATAGGATTATGGGGACATGGAGCCTTTAGGTCACTGTTTCAAATATGGACAAGATTGGTAGTAAACAGAAGCTTCACCATCCAACAGCTCTTTGGCCTACTTCCACTGAGTTGGGGGTCTCAGTCCAGTTCCTAGTGCACCCCACAATTGAACATGAGGGTAAAATTTTCAAAGTCACGTGACTTAGGCTATATCTACACTAGCACGTACTGCGGTGTAACTTATATCGCTCAGGGGTGTGAAAAAGCGCCCCCTTCTCCCCCCCCCCCCCCCCCCCCGCCCGAGCGATGTAAGTGACACCGACCTAAGCATCGGTGTAGACAGCACTGTTGGTGGGTTACATTAGGGAGCTTACAACGGTGCAAGCTGCATCAGTGCAGCTCCGCCACTGTAAACTCTCTAGTGCAACTGTAGCCTTAGACGCCTGTGAGTCCCACTGAAAATGGGACATAGCTGCCCAAGTCACTTGGGGTAAAATTTCAAAAGCACCTAAGTCTTAGGCCTTGGCTACACTCGCGGATTCACAGCGGATTCCGAGGGGAGTAGCTTGCAGCGCTGCAGGCGCTGATTACACTGGCGCTTTACAGCGCTGCACTCGCTGCGCTCAGAGGGGGTGTTTTTTCACACCCCTGAGCGCAGCAAGTGCAGCGCTGTGAATTGCCAGTGTAGCCAAGGCCTTAGTAGAGGCCAGTGATTGAATCACAAATGGGAGACTCAGTCTCTTATCTGCTTTAGAGGTGGTCCCATCAGTGGTGAAACACAGGGGTGTGGTTGGAAGGGGAAGCTTGCCCTGTCTCTGCCTCTGCTCTGTTGTCTAGAGAATAACTGCAGTCTCCAGGGCTATCAGTCTGACCCCTTTCACTAGCACTTAGTTCACCTGCAAAGGCATACTGTAATATTAAAACTTGTCTCGCTAAATCAAATTGCTTCTAATTGTTTTTTCTTCCATTTCTTTCCTCTCTTTCTGTTCTTGATCCAAGGAATTGTGGGAATGTGTTTTGCTCCAGTTGCTGTAACCAGAAGGTGCCAGTTCCCAGTCAACAGCTCTTTGAACCCAGCAGAGTCTGCAAATCTTGCTACAGCAGCTTGCATCCCAGTAGTTCCAGCCTTGACCTTGAACTGGATAAACCCATCGCTGCCTCTTCAAATTGAAGCTCCAGCCTAGAAGGAAGGGTGAAAAAGACCATGCTGACTCTTCTCCTAAACAGACATGCTTGGTGGACAGAGGCTGGTAGGACTGGAGAAGCCGTGCCGTGCACTTTGGAGTTTGGGCATGGATCACTGCTCAGAGGGACAGAACTCTAGGACGTACCACTGGATTGTGGAATTCTTCTTTTCCAGCTATTCCCCCCTTTCCTTTTTATCCTATTGGTGTGTGTGTGTGTATATATGTATGTATTTTTTTTAGTTTTTCTGGAAGACTGGGGAAGTGGGAAAGGGGCTGGGCCCAGGACCAGGTCTCCCTCATGCTTCTAGCTGCGCCACCATTGAACTGTGCTGCAGACAGACTTCTCAATTTTATGGAGGAAAGGAGAGGAGGGGAATCAGTCCAGAGACAGCGTGCGGAGTGTGAATACCTGTCATGTCAGTGCAAGTGCTTTCAGTCACTCCTATTACTTCCAAACAAGAAACTGCTGTTTGGGAAACTGTTGCTGCTAGAAAAAATGGGAATCTCTTTCCCAAGAGAGGACTCTCCCTCTGTTCTTAGAGTGGGTTTACTTAGCCTCACTGCGTGAAAGGGGGATCAATCACAGATTACCATACTCAGCGGCTCTGTATTTACATATGTAATCCACATCTTTTATTGCCATTAGCCAAGCCGGCTGTGGCTTTGAGTGGAAACACCTGGACACCTTTGGCTAAGGAAAGTATGTGCTTATTTAAGGGAAGTGAAAGGGAAGGGGATTGAATGGCTTCCTGTTCAGGACTGGTTTTACATTGGTGCTTCTATGTAAGGTTCTGTAAATGTAACTCATCATAAAGAAAACGGTGTCAGGGAAATTAGGAGACCTTTAAACTACTACCCTTGTCCCATTTTTTTAGAATAGTTTATCCAGAATGCAGAGCTGGTTCATTGATCGGGCACTCACTGTGGTGCATTCAAACATAGACTGAATGTCATACTGATGATCAGACTCACACTTTAATGAGAGATTTCAAAGCAACTATAGAATGGCTGTGATATCTTGCTGAGTAAAATTTCACTGGCCTGAGGCTACCAGTCAGTGAAAATAAGTACATTGATGCTTGTCATGTCTGTGGAACATTTCCTCCTTTTCATTCTGTGATCTGTATACTGTAGACTTGATAATCCTAAACAAGCATCTAAACAAAAACCAAAAAAAAAACTGGATTTCCCCCCCCCCCCCCCCAATTTGAAAGCAACTTTTAAAACCACCTCATTAAATTGTGAGTCTTTTGAATATCTATTGCTTAATGAGAACATTTGGTACTCTCACACACCCTTTTCCTTTTGATACAGTATGCTTAATGCAGTTTGGAGAAGGAAGAAAAGTACATTATAATGTATAATATATTGTCTAGGCTAAGCTGTGACAGCTTCTACTTCTGACATGCTCAAGTAGAACAAATTCCCTTGGAGTATGTAAAAGTTTCTGAGTACAGAGGTGCAAGAAATTATAATGGGTCTTGGGCTAGAGGGGTACTTGCCTTCAGTAGAACATCAAAATGACACCTCCTAGAGTGAACTTCATAAAGAGAGAAGCATCTCCGAATAGCTGGTAGAACCTTAGGGGAAAGACATGTCAAAGTATTTTATTTTTGATGTCTGAACTTTTCACACTGCTTGTGAAAGGTGCATACACTGCTGTATTGTAAGCTGAAGATTTACAAGATGAAAATGAATGTTCCAAGATGCTGGTTTAGCATAGGAGCCCATGTGCTTAGAGGGTAGGATGTCTGGTGACAATGCTCTTTGGGCTCCTCCCTGGTACATGTTTTGAAACACTTGGAAATCATCAGCAGGGGAAGAGCAAAGAAAAATCTAGGGTCTCCAATTCAAGTTTTATCGAAAATGAATTATTCCTGGGAAAATGCAGTAAAAATCCTGACTAGAACTGCTACAGTGGTTACAGTTCCAGGTACAGCTGAGAAGGTTGGAACAGAAACCAGCTCCTATCTCTCTGGCTTTTCCTTTGAGGATAGTGATTAGAAGCTTGACCTTAGTGGACATGGTGTAGTTCTACACACTAACATTGTGTGGTTTTGTGGTGCAGAGTCAGGAATAAGTCAGATTCTGCAGTTCCTAATGACAGGTGCCAAGAGGTTATGATACGGGTTTTTTGGGTATGTGATATATAGTGTGAATAAATGCTTGCAGCTCTTAGTCTTTTATGATCAATGAAGCACTTTTTTATTAATATTATTTTTCTTTGTATGTAAAGGGGGAACCGATATCTCTCCATAGCTGTATATATAACCCTTCTCTCCTAAGGAGGAGTAAAGTGCTCCTATATTTTTCATTTTTGTCAAAGCAAGAAGTAAATACTTTAGAAATGTTAAATATATAAATAAAGGTGAATAAAGTTTAGAGTTTTGCATGGGAGCATTTGCTAATACACTTCCTAATTTATTTTTCTTGCTGTCCTTCGTAGGTGAAATATTTGAGGTTCAACAGAAACACCAGGAAACCTTTCATAAAGGAGCTTGTCATAAGCCTCCTCTTGCTTTCTTTTCCACTGAGCTTCTTTGCAAGGAGCACACTGGTGCTCTTAAATTTAGAAGAAAAACATTAAACTTAGTTTTTCTGGTATGAAAACATATGGAGCATCAGGTACTGCTCCATAACAATCAATACATTTTTCCCTTGGGCAGGAGTACTGGGTGTTAAGAGAGTTAAATCTACCTTTGTACCTCAGATTTTTCTTACCCTGAATGGACCATCACATTTCAGAGTTTGAGCCAATGATTTTATTACCACAACCACATCAGTGTAGAATGGCCTAGGTCACCACAGTCTTCACATCCGGTTTCAGTGGGGTTTGGAAACAGGAGATCTGTGCATTTCTATCCTCTGCAGTAACCATGCTGTAACATTTACTGTTTGACAATGTTGGTGGGGAAGTTAAAGCTCAGTTCTTACTTGCAACCTTTCTCCTTATTCTCAATGTTGATGGTGCAGCTGTGGCTCTTTGGGAACAAACCAAACGGACTCAGGTTTAACGCTGAAAACTCTCTTCATCTCTCCCAAAGGTGGAGAACTCATCTGCTAGTTCTGCAAATCTAACCTACTTAGGAGCCTGAGTAATGTTCCTCCATTAGGGCAGCTAGTTCATTTCAGCACCCCAGGCTTACATACATACCTGGTCACTTTCCATCACACAAACTTCTATTCCTTTTGTTATTATTTTTGTCTTCCATATTTTAAGTCAGAGAAGGGATTATTTTATTGAACTCTCTGGGAGACTGAAGTATTCTCTGAGCATCTCTTGGTTATTTAGGAACAGGCCTATTCTAGTCACACAGGTGTGGTGCACAGTTGTTTTATAAGCTTTTCTTATTGCCTTTTCTTTGAAAATTAAATAATACTGCAGATTCGGGACAGAGCAGGGATCAAAACCATTGGCTGTATCTCACAGCTTCAAGAACAAAATAAAAAAGCCCATATAATATTGTGCGCTATTATGGGTGCGAGTTTGTCACAGAAGTAGTGTATTCCGTGACTTGTGCAGCGGCCAGTGCACCTGGCTCAGGGGCAGCTCAGGCAACCCCTGCTCCAGTCACACCTGCCACTGCTGGGGAAGTCGCAGGCCACCGTTTCTTCCCTCCCCCCACCCCAAGCAGCAGCAGAGTTTGCATGTGGGAGGGGACGGGTGCTGGGCGGCGCTTCTACGAGTGATTGCTCATGTGCATTCCACAATAGGTGTGCATGCTCGCCACGTGCACTAGTGCCGCAAGTTTTTCCCCTAGGAGTACCCGTAGGGGAGCATCCCTAGCAACCCCTAGAGTGGCGCCTCCATGGCGCGGTATAAGGGGCACTGCGCGCTCCCCCCCACCCTCAGTTCCTTCTTGCCGCCAGTGAAGGTGCTTCGGAACTCTTGTTTGTTCAGTGTAGTAGTACCTGTAGTTAAGTAGTTGATTTGATTAGTTTAGTGCGGCCAGGCCGGAGCATGACCCGTGCCCTGGGTTGTAAGTAGTGCCACACTTGTAGGCACCCGATGCCAGTGAGTGATCCGCACTCGGACTGTTTACACTGTTTGGGTGAAACCCATCTCAGTGATCGCTGTAAGATTTGCAAGTCGTTCAAGCCTCGGACTGAGAGAGAGAGATATTCAGCTCTAGGCCATCCTGATGGAGTCGGCATTGACCCCGACTCCGGCGCGCCGCTCCAAGTCGGCACCGGATACCACGCTGTCAGAGCACAGGGACCCCCCCCGGTGCCATCTACCAGTCGGCACCGCTCCCCGTCCACTGGGCACACCAAGAAGGCTAAGAAGAGGCCTTCTCCGCCGCGGCACTGGAGCAAGACTGGGGGAGAGGCTAGACCTATGTTGGGTAGTCCTCGGTCCCCATCGGCCTCTAGGCCTCCGACTCAGGTCAAGCGGAGTAGCCCTGCCCATTCGGAGCAGGCTTCCCTGGATGTCCGGATGGCCTCCACGCCAGAGGCTCTGCAAGCAGCCCGGGACGTTATGTCCGTGCCGGTACCAGTAGCACCGCCAATGTTGGCCCCGCGGTCCAGAGGCAAGCTGCCTCTGGGATCTCCGCAGTCGCCCCTGACTCGGTACCGGTCATGGTTGAGGGAATGTTCCCGATGCCATTTGCCACTCAGCAACTGTCCCATGCATAGTCCACACAGTCACCGTTGACCCCCATCAAGTTGTCTGGCTGGGTTCCGACTGACAGAAACTCCAGGCACCGTTCCGCCTCAAGGAGTGGACCGAGGAAGACGACGCCAAAGGTCCTCGTCTCTGAGGGGCTGTCGTAGCCAGTTGTGACATGAATGTTGACGCAGCTCCCGTTCGTCGTCTCGCTCCAGGACCCTGCCACAGCACTGCTCCCGCTACCCTGGGCGTCAATCGCCGGCGCCTCGCCATCGCAGATCTGCCCACCAGAGGCAATCATGTAGCAGCTGCTACTGGCAGTACCATTTCTCCACGTCAGGATCACGATCTCGTGGCCGGCACCGCTCCTGGCGCTACCGCTCCTCCCGGTCCAGGGACAGCGGCAGGTCGTAGGTCAGCCCGGCCTCCCTTCGTAGTCGTTCATCAATGGGACAGGCCAGCCAGGCCGAACAGCTGGCTTCGCCGGTGCCACAGCAGGTGCAGTGGCACCGGCACAATGGTACAAGTGGCCACCATGGTCCCGACGCAGCCCCCAGTGGGGGCTCGCTCAGTGGCCAGAGCCTCGGAACAGCTGTAGGCCTCCCTCTCCCAGCCTCCGAGGAAGGAGTCGGTGGGACATACATCTTCGGCGCTGTGCCCGGAGAGCAACCAGGTGGTGGATCCTCCAGTGCCAGTGGACACGCAAAGTACCGCACCCGCCTCTTCACCCTCCCCTGATGAGGCGATTATGGTCCCTCCTCCCTCCGTCCCGCAGGAGGACTCTAAAGCCCACCAGGAATTATTGAAAAGGGTGGCATCAAACCTCAACCTTCAGGCAGAGGAGGTGGAGGAGCCCTCGGACTCCCTCTTTAACGTCCTGTCCACCTCGGTACTGGGCAGGGTGGCCTTTCCACTCCACAAAGGTGTGGCAAAAATTTCAAATGCCTTGTGGCAAATCCCAGCCTCATTGCTCCCCATCTCTAAGAGAGCGGAATGCAAGTATTTTGTGCCTGCCAAGGGGCATGAATACCTATACATACACCCACCCTGCCCCCAACTTCCTCGTGGTCAAGTCGGTCAACCACAGGGAGCAGCAGGGCCAACCAGTCCCTACTCTGAAAAATAAAGACTCAAGGAGGCTGGATTCATTTGGGAGAAAAATTTATTCGTTCTCGAGCTTCCAGTTGCGGATGGTGAGCCATCAGGCTCTCCTGGGCCGTTATGAGTTCAATCTGTGGGGCTCTCGGCCCAGGAGCGGCGCCAGGGTTTTTGGCGCCCTAGGCGGGGGTCCTTCCGCGCTCCTTGTCGGCGGCGGCAATTCTGCGGCGGGGGGGGCCTTCCGCGCTCCCAGTCTTCGGGGCACTTCGGCGGCGGGTCCCGGAGCGAGTGAAGGACCCGCCGCAGAATTGCCGCTGAAGACCTGGAGCGCGGAAGGACCCCCTGCCGCCGAGGGCAGCAAAATCCCAACCCCCCAAATCCTGGTGCCCTAGGCAACCGCCTAGGTCGCCTAAATGGAAGCGCCGGCCCTGTCTCTGCCCAAGTTCGAGGACTCCCTCCAGG